TGTCTGAGCCCAGGCTGTCTGTCTGAGCCCCGGCTGTCTGTCTGAGCACACGGCTGGTGGCGCACACTGCCCAGCCGGCGGCCATCTTAGCTCTCAAGGCCCCACTGAGGCCATTTTCCTCAGAAATGGCCTTGCCCTCCCCGAGGCCATGAAAGAAAAAAACATAAAATAAAGGTTCTGCTCTATCTCCCTATTAATTCTAGCTTTAACGTAGCTCTTTAGTACATCCCCAGCCATTTTAAATGCTTCTAAAAGCAGCCCTTGCAGCTCATCACCATGCACAGTACACAGCTCCTACAGCTCAGCAGCGGACTGGCCCCCTCCAAACGCACAGCCAGACACCAAGACGCCTTCCCTGACCTCTCTTCACAGCTCCTAAGAGCCAGGCCCCCACGCCCGGAAGCTGCCTGTTTCCCTTGGGCTCAGCCTGCCTGCCCTGCCCTGCGCAGCCCCCATCCCCTCCAGCTGCTGCTCCTCGCAGTCTTCTAGCAGTTTCTTTGCAGCACTCCCTGTCATTTCCAGCGCCCCCCCCCCCATGAAACCTCGGGAGGGGCAGGAAAAGGAATGTGGGTGGAGTAACACAGAGCATTTCAGTATCTTGTTCTGAATCTGCTTTGGAATTGAGGTGTGGCACAGAAAGGCTGAGTTTGCCGAGGATGTCTTCTTTTGCACTCAGTTGGAGAACTGTTAGAATGAGCAAAGAAATTCACACGGTGATCCTACTAAAAAAGCACCTTCACTTATTGCTTTATGCTGCTCTCCCCCCTCACATTAGGGGAAAAGGAGGAAGAAAGCCCGTAGAATAATTAGAAGAACAACAAAAAAATTTTTTTGTCTCTCTGTTCACAAGGGCAATTGGCATTAATTAAGTTAAGGGACTGGAACGATCAAGCTGTTCATCTGCAGAAAATATGAAACACAATGAATCATTAAATCTCCAAAGAAAAAAAAGATATATTTGAAAATGAACAATAGCGTGTGCTTATGCTTCCTTAAAATTAGCTTCAGGCTGCTTGTTTGCATCCCACGATAATACCGTGCATGAAATAAAATGAAGTTTCTGTACTGTAAATTTCCTCTAGGAAAGACTTTAAAAGTACTGAACAAAATGAGCAGTGCCAGTAAGAAAATGCATCTGAGGTTCTGCTCTACCTGACCTGTTAGTAATGTAGCAGCTTTCACACACTGAATGGGAAGTGCACTGATTTAAATGAAGAACTTCCTTATGTAGTGAACGTGTAAAGTGAATTTAGGTCCTACTGACAGAATGCTCACTTTCTAATTAGATTTTAGAATGCTTAGAGTTGGAAGGAACCTTAAAGATCATCCTTCCACTAGGCCAAGTTGCCCAAAGCCCCATCCAACCTGGCCTTGAGCACTTCAAGGAATCGGTCACTGACAACTATGCTGGGCCACCTGTTCCAGTGCTTCACCATCCTGCAAGAATTTCTTCCTTGCATCTGATCTAAACCTCTCCTTTTAGTTAGAAGACATCACACCTTGTAATCAAGATGTTAGTAAAAAGGCACTTAAGGACAAATGCAACAGCATGGTGTATGTGTGGCGTAGGGGGGAGAAGTATATGTGTGCACACAAAATCTTAATCATAGACAAAGCATGCATTCTGATGTGTTGACCCAAATTAAACTAATTAACAGAGATACACCCTATTAGGCATGCAAAACCATTATGATACAGACAGTGCTATTGTATACATCTAACCTAAGGCAAAAATGTTTACAAGAAACAAATGAAATTGATGAAATTGCCCCTGTATAATAGAATTCCTGGACTGAATGTTAGAATCCCAGCCAAGATGAAAATCAATATACTTTGTCTGAAAAAATTTAAAGCCAGTCACGAATTCACGACATTCATGCTTTGCCTTAGCACAGACTTACAAATAGCAAAGTTGTTTGAATACATAATGAACAACAAACTTATTTTTTTTCATAAAACTTTAACTGGTAAGGGTGCCCTACATTGAACTTGCCACTGAAATGGATATCTTAAAAGAATCTTATGTACTGCACTATGCAATGTGCTATGTATCATCCATACGAAGCACCACCTCTAACCTCTAACAGTGATTTTGGTAATAGGCTTTTCTGATTATTAGGAAATTAGGAAATTAGGGAAGAGCCTTGCCTGCATAGAAAAGTACTTGTTGCTATAAATAAGATTTTGAAAAGCTTTACAAGTTTTTTTCTCTTCTTTTTCTTAGTATGACATTCTTTCTCTAGGCAATATTCTAAAGTTCTATGATTGTACTAAATAAGGGAATTCTTATATAACATCATGTATGTCCATTGTGTTTTACAGACCTGCAAAGTCGCAGATTGGAAAATAATGCACTGTTTTAACAGAATGGCTGAACAACAGGGAGTACCCGTCAAGGATTCTGATCTTACTCAATGGAAAGAAAAAAAAAATCAGGGCAAGCTGGCAGCTCAGCAGCTTCATTTACAGTGTGAGGACTGAGCTGGTACTGATTACCAGTGGGTGGCCTAAGACCTGTCTCTTGTGTAGAGCCAACACAAGCAGAGCTGCTGATGAGGTGATAAAGGCTTCAATGCAGCACTGAGGTGGCAATGTGTGAACTCCAGCAACCACAGGAAATATCAGATGTCAGCAAGCATAAGGTGCTTGTAGGAGGGCTGGCAAATGAAGGCCTCTCATTAATCTCTTACAGATGAATGATGCCTTTGCTGCATCTTACACAGGTGTTAAGGAGCCAGCTTGTCTTATGTTATTATCCAGAGTACAAGAACCTGCACTGAGAGCAGAAAAGCTGCCACTGGAGGCGCGCTCCCTTGCTTCCCAGTGGAATGTCTTGATCTTCTCTAGGAGAGCTAGAGGAGAGAAGGGAACTTCACAGAGCGAATCTATTTCTTCTACACAGTAACCTAGAATTTCAGAGTTCAAATAAATATTCAACCCAGCTTATAAAAAGAATATAACTTCTAGTCTTTACAAGTACTGATTAAGCTTTTAAGAACTGTAAGAGACTTAATTGTGTATTTTGTTTTTTCACATGCAGATGTATTATTATGACAATTAACAACAGATTTCTAACTTCAAACCATGACTACACAGGGCAGTTTCTCCAGAGAGTGGATTCCAAACAATCTGCAAACATCCAACGGAAGAACAACTTCCAGAGTAAGCTATTGTGAAGGCTAAGTCCTGAGATCAGAAAGATGAAAAAAACATTGGGGAATGTAATGTGCATTATGATAGTTGCTTTCATCTGAACTTTATGACAATGTACACAACACTCAAAAGGTGGCCTCAGTAATGATAGCATTATAATGGAATAGACTTTGAAAAATTCACTGCATAGTGTTACAGCAGGGAACCAAAAATACACAAGAATGCCAGAATTTGATGCCTTCTGTTTTCTTTGTTTTCACCTTTCATTGCCACTAATTTACACGACTGGAAATGCAACTGCATCAGCAAATAATTATCAAATCCTCAGAAGTAATGATACTTGGATATCTAATCATATATTTAAATTTAAATAAAACCTTTCAAATATACATTTTTTGAGATGCATTCAAAAATCGGCCATGTTATGAAGTATAAAAAATACATTCAAAATGAATCCTACAATTTATTCTGAAGTAATGTCCACAATATAAACTATGAATAAAATGCTGTAAGATGCTATGCATTTACCTTTACTAAGTTTAGAACATTTGACTGCTGGTGAATTATTGCCAATATTGGATTTGGTGTAAGGTCACATAATAGAAAGCTTTCATAATGCTGCAGCAGTTCCGAATGGCTGGAAAAGTTTTATCTAGTGTCCAGTGGTACTGTTATGCTATAAGATGTTTTTACACAGAAAAATAGTCTGGCCTAGAAAAAAAATGATGTTTAATATAGCATTTTGTTACAGCTGTGTATGGAGAATGCCACTAAGAGCTTCTGACCTTTTCTCATTATTTAGAAACAGAACCCAAGTGTGGATTTCTACAGGGTGCACAAAGGGCAAGTTCAGTGCAGGTTTGTAGGCTACTAGACCATTAGCTGTTGGTTAGAAAGCACATTTTTTGTTCATTTACTTAAAATGCACTTCCAAACCTTAGTTCAATCAAACTAATCAAACTTAAATGAAACGTTGAGGCTACCATTCAAGCAGTACATCTCGTAGTCTAGACTACAAAAACGCATCCATTGCTTTGACATCCAATCACTACTTTAATTTTATAAACAATCATTTTAATGAAGCATTATTCCTCACTGGTACGTGATTTTGGTATGATAGCCTCAGGTATGGAAGTCAAAGGCTGCCATAAAGTGATAAACTGTGCTTTAATACATGATCTTTCAAGCTTCCCATGGAAATTTAATCAGTTTTGATGCTCCAAATAGAAGTCTGACTTGACAAGTGCTTGTGCCACTACTCACGTGTATTTCATCATGTCACATTGCTGTGATTTCTTCTTCCATTTGAGCCCTCTTGGGAAGACAAAAAAAAAAATGGAGAACATAGGAATTCCCCAATATGTCTTATAGTTCCTATGGAATGAGGAAAAAAAAACAACCATATACTTTAAGTCAAGAAAGCTGTAGTTTAAAGTCTCTTCTATCTCTTGCTACTACAGTCACTATACAACAGACCAAGATCAGAAACACAGTAAACAGGAGAGTGAAATGAAAGTGAGTTTGAGGTCAAAAATCCCCTGATTTAAGCAATACAGCAATGCAGAAACAATCAAGGAACCAAGAAGTTGGTGATAAAATTGTTCTCTATGTAGTCATTAGCCTTTTCTCATAAGATATATTTAAATAAAAAATAAAAAATAAAATAAATAAATAAAAAAGCTTTTCTAGCAGATGGAGAGAAAGGACAGGCACGGTACATTCTCTTTTTAAGGAACGTTCTCTTACAAAAGTGGTTTGACAGATAGGCTAAGTTAACTTATCTTACACATTCCTATTGCTTTAGTAAGGGTAACCTATTAGTGCAGGATGATGTAACCTACATGACAAGAAGTTTAAAACTGAGGAAAGATGAAAGAAGACACAAAATGAAAGAACTGCAGTATGTGATGTGCAGGTTACCCTGTTATTCCTACCACTTTTGTCCTCCAGCTCCCATAGGTTAGAAGTGAAACATGATCTGAGTATAAGTGTGAATATATTGAAGGAGCCATAGGCAGCAACAGGAGGAGCAATGAAATTGGACAAGTATTTGACGGGTACTTCAAAGGGTTTTACTCTAGAGAAGAAAACTGATACATTTTTTATCAAATTCTTTTTTTTCCTTCTGGGGTGCACTTGCTAATAATATTCCTCGAAAAAATATTGTGCCTTCTTTCCCGTGCATTGAGAAAATTCAGGAGAATCCTGAATCACCTATCTTATTTTTTATTACTAACTGTAAAAAAGTAAACCAGTATTTCATTCAAAATTCTAATAGAAATCATTATATAAACTATTTTATTTTCTAATTTTCTTTAATAAGTCATTATATAATATTTGGCTGGCTTTGTATCTGCTACCTTTAATACAAGACTAGTTGGAAGACCTCCACTCCAAATCCATGTTCAGAATGCATAGTCACCAGGTTCAAAACAAAAGCAACATAACATTTTCCTCATTACATTTAAATTACATTTATCAGATGAAACTACCAGGTTACACAGCTTCACGTTACAGAATTGCAATTAAAATTCTGACCAAAAGGCTTTCCAGATGCATGTCTGCAAATTTCTCCCCATGATGTATGTAGGATTCCAGCAAGGGAGCGCAAAGGCAAATGAAAAAGCATTTTCATGAAAAATTCTGGAGCCTTTGCTGCCATAAGCAGAAACTGCTTAACGGGCAGGATCGCAAGACGTATGCATTCAGGTTATGTACTTAGCACGTTAATAGTACAGCTCGTGTCCAAAAATTAAGGACGTGGTGACTGATGACAGTCCTTTTACGGGCATCACATGAACTGCTAGATGTGTAACCTCAGAAAACAGGAAAGAGGTGGGCAAAGAACATTCAACATCATCTTGCTGCATTACAACTTGCTCCATACCATGTGGTTGCAAAACTTTAAACTTCTACAGCTCTTTATAAAGAGCAACTCAATAATAATGTTGTGAAAACCCCTGTAACTACACTATTTTGATGTGTTTGTCCCAGTATATTGGTGCATGAGGAAACCAATAACTAAAAGTACTTTTCTTTCCACCCCACATGTCATTCTGTGATACCAGGTCTCATCTTCTTCACTCTACTCTCCTCCTGGCACTTTAAATCTCTTGTCTCTTTGGAAAACCCTTTCCTCCTCTTCTTCTAACAGCCTGTGTAGCTGTACAACACCTTCCTTGTTTCTTTTCACATGTTTTTTCTCTGAAACAGCTCTCAAAGGAAAGGGCAAGGTAAATAACAATCATAGATTCAGGGCTCCTCTACAGAGAGGCATGAGAAGTAGAGATACAGAAACATCTGTAATAATGGGACAAATGTGTCCTGGTTGTAGTTCTACTGGAACCTCTAATTTTGAACTAGACCCACAGAATATAAGCTCGAGAAGTAATAATTAAGTGTAAAAAATTAAGGATTTTATGAAATAACAATTATTCAGTAAACGTCATACACAAATTGTAACATGGTTCAAATTGCCCTAAAGGGATCTCTTCCAAAATAAATAAAACCTCAGAACTATATTCCCATATCTAGCTCATATCTAGCAAAAATGAAAATCTGACCTCTCTCATTAGCTTACTAAGTAGCCTTTTCTCATTTGCAGTGTCTCAGGAGCCTATGAAACGTGGAATCATGTTTACTTTCAGAAGCCAACACACAAAACGATTACATGAGCTTAGCCTGATCAGTTAATCTGGTGTTTTGTAGTGTCTTCAGTTTCAAACATTAATAGTTCAATGTTCTGTTCTCCAGCATATATTCACAAAAACTCCCATGAACTTGAAAGTCCTTACTAATTACCCTAGAGATATTCATACTGTCTAGTTCTGTGATTCTCTTTTCCTCTGTTACTCCTATATGGCCAGTCTTTGTTGAAGACCACAATCATTTTAATTTTATCCAGCCCCTCCTCTTTCTTTCCCTGAGAGAATCCAAACCACTGACGTGTTCACTTCAGAAAATAATAATTCTGATGAAGAAAAGCAGCTTCCAGAATTGTTGGGTACAAAAGTTCTGCTGACATAACATATATTCTTTTCCAAAAGATGTAGGTACAAGTTCAAGGCGACCCACTTACTTCAAGGCATGTTTTACCCAGTTGATGGGGCTTCTGTAGTGCAATCACAACATCAACTGTTTATGAAATCAAAACATAACCCTTCAACCCAAGTAATGTGCTATTTTGTGAAACACTAACAAGTGAGCATCATCTGTCCTAAGGGTGAAATAAAGCAAGTGTAAAATTCACACTACATACTCTGGCTGATTTGTACACCTGATCTGGTCTATTATTCTTCACCCAAGTGAATCAATCTGAGATAAGAAATGTATTAACCTTCACCTGTTAAAGCTGTTGCTTAGCTTTGAAGAAAAATGTAATGATAATTTTGTGATGAAGTTGAAATAGGCAAGTTAATAGTATGATTCTAACTATAGCAGGCTCTTACAAAACAGTGCCTTCTAGAAAAGTACTGCTGATGTCTGGGCTGGTTCATTTAAAAACAAGATCAATTGCAAGCTATTTGTAATTACTTGTGCACTGTAAAAATTGAAACAGATTAAACTAAGAAAATGCACTGACTTAATGTCTTTAGTTTCTTCTTTAACAGAAAATTGACCAAGCCCCTGAACTTCAAAATAGCTAAGCAAAAGTAAAAGAAAAGCAAAAACAGTGATGTAAAAATTTACCTAAAAGAAAGTCACATTATTTCAACACTGCTTTCTATCTTGGAAAGATTTTAATGTGAGTAAATCTGCTTTCTGATTGACAGATTCGTTATATTACATCCAGATCTCTTTTGTGGTCCTCAAATACCCAAGTGGAAACAGTGAAAGTGAAAAATATGTCAGTCCTTTCAATATATTAGAAAGTTGAAAATGATGTGGGCAATACTTCCTTTTTTTCCTGACTTGAAGCTTAATTTAGTGCTTATACACTAAAATGACATTTGTCTTTAAAATCTGTACTTCTGGGGGAAAAGAAAGTACAAAACTTACTTTTCACACAGAGAACAATGATGTCAACAGCAAATACACAAGATTTTCAAACCACAGCACTGGAGACTTCTTTGAGAAAAGAAAGCATATATTAAAGGTGATATCTGTATGTTTATCTGACAGCTGAATCTTTCTTGATTCAAGATTCAATTTTCACAAGTTGGTGTTGTGCTATTTAGTCTTCCTGAGCATCCTGTAAAACTTTTCTGGTTTCCTGGTTCTCACACATTCTCATGTTACTCAGATGACCTGAGCTAAACCATTAAATATACCATTGTAGTTAACAGTTTAATAATATGCTGATATTTGTTCCTGATCTCGTTCCCATGAAAACAATTCTTCTTTTTATTTGAAAGAGGTCATAAAAATGCAGTATTCAGAAAACATCAACATTATTAAATCAATGCACTTACCTTAAATTCTTGAAATGAGAATCACCACATGTAAACATGTAAACTCATCTCCAACTTGCCTTCTGATGTAAGAATCTGAGGTGGATGACCTGGAGGCAGCCAGAAGGTGAGAAGTTAGTAGAAACAACAGAATGCTTGGAAAACTCAGTGCAGTTGGGGCAGTACTTACAAATCAGCTTCTTACTTAACTATAGAATCACAGAATCATTAAGGCTGGAAAAGATCTCTAAGATCTGCCCAGGGAGGTGGTGGAGTCTCCTTCTCTGGAGATGTTCAAGACCTGCCTGGACACCTACTTGTGCGACCTGGAGTAGGGAACTGCTTTGGCAGGGGGTTGGACTCAGTGATCTCTGGAGGTCCCTTCCAACCTGTACGATTCTGCGATCTAGTCTGACTGTCCACCTACCACTGATATTGGCACTTCAAACCATACCCCTAACTACTACCTCTACCCCTTGCTTAAGCACCCCCAGGGATGGTGACTCCACCACTTCCCCAGGCAACCTGCTCCAAACCACTCCAGCTATTTTTTAATATATATATTTTTACGCGCGTCATGACAAAGTAGTCCTAGATTAATTCAGGATGTCCTTCCTTAGATCAAGTAGAAGCATAGGAACCTAGATGAAATTATATATAACAAAGTATTTATCATCCATTGCTATACTTTTTGATTGTCATACTATTGTATTTTATAGTGACAAAACAGTTTCATGAATTAGATCATTAATCTGTGTTTTTTAAAGCATGGAACTGAAGCCCAAGCTTGTTTACCGAATTGTTCATGTCACTCACACAACTTCTAAGTCCTTACTAGATTCAGAACATTACTTTTATCATTCACAATATAATAAAATTAAAATAGACACTTCTCAGCAATCTGTCAGTAGAGTCTGTGACATTCAAATAACATGAAGTTCCTATCTTAAACATGTTCCTAAAATGCTGGATGAAGTCTTAATACCAGCATTACCAGGAAACATGTCTACAACATCAAATATAACTTTTATCCTCTGTGAATGCTTTGCATAGTCTGATTTCCAGTTTCTGGTCTCATTCATTAATTTCTCACCGCAATTACATGTATATTTGTGCACCATACAGTTTAGCAAAATTTATTTCTGTTCCCAGCTTTCTTAGGCTAAAGCTAAATCTTCTATGAAAATTAAAGTTTATGAACAAACACTCATCTGGAAAGATTTGGGGTGAACAATTAATCCGAGGGCTTTGCTAGCAATGCATTTCATCATGTTGGAAGACGATTTCTGTTTCTCAAAGACTTTCTCTTCACTGAACCTGTTCAGCACCAATACCAATCATTTAAAAAGATTCCCAGTCATGTCACAGTCACTAAACGTACAGCCCCACGCTCCTACACAGGTCAAATTCCACCTCTTGTGGCTGTTTTATCTATACTGCACAAGGAAGAGCCTCTGCTCTTGTACAAGGCTTCTGCTTTTTATTTTTTCAATACATATTATAGATGTGGAACTACAATAAAAGGAAGTTATGACTGGTGAAAAAGCCAGAGACTGAGTGTACAAGATGTCATCAAATGCTTCAGTTGAATTTTTCTTTTTTTACTGGGAAAAAAAAGAAACATACTTGGCTGTCTCAAATCTGTTTCATTTCAGAATTTTCATAATTGGAATTTAGTGTTATTCTCTTGTCCCTATTATTCTGCATCCTACAAATAAACTGAAAGCATGATTATTTATGTGGTTTTTCTCAGTTCCAGTCTACTGCATTCGTCACAAGACTTCTGTTAAATTCTTATTCAATAAGCACTCATATTTCTGATTTTACTTACACGAGGTGTACCAGCATACAAGATGTGGCTTATTTTTAAGACAATTTTTCCCACTGACTGTGACTAAACGCTAAAATCAATCAACTCTATCATATGTAATGGCCCACAGCTTTTGTATTTCTGTTTGAAAATGTATCAGGTTGAGATGCTCCACATAGCATTCACTCTTTTCAAACATGACGTGTGAACGAGAATAGTTTGGTACTAATATTGGCCCAGTAAGAAACCTGTCTTATGCTTGCAGTGTGGAATGCTGAGGCCCTGGAAAAATCTGACAAAAGAAATCCATTTTCCTGTAATTGAGTCTGTTGACAGTATCTGCTTTTGAAGCATCAGACAACACACATCAGTCCTCTGAGCTTTGCTTTTCATATCACAAACCTCTAGTCAACATAAGAAAAGACATGCAAGATAATAATGAAAGTTTAGAAACTATTCACAAGAATATTGAATGACTTGCAAATACAATATAGTTGGTAACTGAGGGGGAGGTCACCCCAACTAACAGATTTATGCATCTGCTCCTTTCCATAAAAAATTCACAACGCCTTTATGCCTGAATTTCATTTATACAGCCAAATCCTCCCGTAATGTAATTACTCATTATTGAGCATGATGATAGTATAGTATATGCAAGCTGACACATTATTTCATTTCCTTTGTTATTAGCAATTGCTATATATCTTAAAGCTGTATGCAAAAGTAAAGGACCTCCATTTGCTATAGAAGGTGTAAGCTTTTCCCAAATCAATAACTAAATTATGAAACAAAATAAAATGAGATTCCACATGGCTACATGAAATCCAGATTTCTTTTTTAGCTCCGCGCAAAAACAACTGTCAGCCTTCCTGCATTATTCTGCTATCGGCTTACTGGCACCACACAACAGATTTGCTTTACAAAAAAAATAAAGTTTCTCAGCTCTTTTAAAAAATTTATCAGACTATTTTCAGAACTTAGAAATCATGGCAAAAAATCATGTCTCATTCGTTTTCTGCTCAAATGAAAATTAAAAATGCTACAGAAGATTTGAGTTTAATTTTTTAACTTAGAAACAAAAATCACTACACTTTAAAAAAAATAAAATGCCTGAGTTATTAAGAGTCTGCGAACTGCCTACTGTGCCCAGGAAGTTGTGTTTTCCATTGTGCATGTCTATGTCAATATAATGACAGCACCATGCTTCAGATCAACTGGATACTAATTACAGATTTACCTGATAGACTGGAATGGCTCCCAAGGAGCTGTTGCACTCTATTTAGCAAATAAGTGATTATCCTAACAGCTACATAAGGACTTGCAATGCTAAATAATCTCATCTGGATACCATTTTGTAATCTTTGTGGTTTTTTTTTTTTAAGTTCTTATGAACTTGCAGCAATGCCTTGCAAATATGCAGTTGGACTGCTGCAGATACCTGGAGCTGCAGACACCAGGGCTCTCTCTGAACTCAAGAAGTCTGCTTGCAGCCCTTGCAGCTCCCCAGATGACTGATCTTATGCCTCTTTTGGCACTGTGAAATGTAAGAATTTTTCATGTCATGCATTCTTTGAAGTTATGAAGCATTATATTTAACAAAAAACAATCATTCTTCAAACAAACCACAATTTCATGCCTGTGATAAATTAAGAAGTAAAATGGTTAAGTAGGTTCAAAAAAGGTGAGTGGAAAAAATGAGCATGTGGAATAAAGCCAGGGTGTCTTTAACATACAGATCTGGATTCAAGTAATATAAAGTATTCATTTACTAAAAGTATGAGGATGGGTTGATTGAATAATTGCTTACAGACTGTAAATATTTTCTACTGACTTTTCAAATCATTGAAGCAGTTCAGGCTCAGATAGAACCCACAGAATATATTCTAACTCCTGCTATACAGCATAAGCAATCCCACTGCTTCACTATGGGAAGGTGTTACTCAATGTAAGCACGGTATCAGGTTCTGAGCTGTAATTATTGTTTACACAAACTTGAAAAGCCTTAGAGAAAGACTAAAGAAGACAATTTTTAATGATCACTCTCTACAGAGGTCATTAATTTGTGTCATGACCTGCTACTTCAAATGTAATCAGTGAAATGTACGGAATGTTTTACAGTCAATATAATTGCCTCTCTAAAAGTAGTAGTAATAATGAGTACACCTACAGTTGAGGCTTGTTAACTCAGTATGGAATATGTGCTCCTTTCTTCACTTTAAAGTAGGGAAATCATGCTAAGCCAACATCAAGAAGAATTAAAAACTTGCTTACACTCATTACGTGTTCTGTTTCAAAAGCACAGTAGCATCAATTGATCCCATCTGATCTGGAAAATCAACACTTACAGTTCCTGTTACGACTCATCATTCCCTCGCTCTATCACTTAAGACAAAGATGTTTTGCTGTTTTTTCACTGTTCTTGTCTTTCAGGTTTTCAGTTCTGGATAATAAAATGTAAATCATTAAAAACCCTAAATAATTTGAAATCTGAAATTTGTACACTGAGCAAATAAATGAAAATTAAACTGAAGTAAATCAAAACACACTACAAAATACACATCCATTTATAAATATTGTATACAGATTATACTGTGGACTGATTCTCATCATTTACCTAGGCTGCATCATGTCTTGCTCGCAGGAAAAGTTCAAGATTTGTGTTTAAATTATTTACATTGCATCCAAGCTCATAGCAAAATTCATTGTGTTCTGCTGGATCCATATTACAACACCAGATACTGGAAAGAAAAAGGAAGAAAGCTGATGAACCAAAGAATTTTCATAGAATTTTCGTATTTCATGATATTTTTTACTTCTTTCCTGATGTGGTAATCATGGAAAAAAGACATCTGCGAGTGATTATTAGTCTACAGCTTATCATTGCAGAACAGACTTTGAGTTCAGTGTACTTATGTCTTGGCCCTTCCTGATGAGATTTATTCGACAGAACTAATTTGAAAGCGAGATAATAATCAATGTCAGTAATTTAAGCATGCTGTTATTTTCTCCAGATACTTCTGGTGCTTGTTGCGCGGATTCTTGGCTTCTGTATTAAAAATGATCAGTAAAATGTACAAATATACAGGGGCATTCATACTGCAGACCAAAGACACGACATTGAAGACAAAAATAAGGTAAGGCCAGATATGTCCATTTCTGCTAGGAAAACTCCTTGATCCCATAGTTGCCATGTAGCAAGAATGACAGTTCTGCATAGAAATTTCTTTAGAATTATATCTTTTGTATTTATCTTGTGGTTTTATTCATTTATTTCTTATAGGATATAGGTCTGTGTTGAAATTCAAATTTTAAAGATTCAGATCTTTCTAATTTTCTCACAATCATACCAAAAGCCTTGGCGATAGCTCAAGAAGCGATTAGTAGGATGCTCCAGTTTCTCACCATTGCATGTTGCTTTACACTCAGACATACACACATGCATACTAAAGCCTTACACCTTCCTAACAGAAAATAACATTACAGTAACTCTACGATCTGATGCAATGTAAAAGGATTATCCGCTCAATCTATTCACCCAGTGCTTCCACAGATGCTAATTCAAATCAATATCTGTACTTAATAACAAGCTGAAAAATGCATGGCTGTTAAGAACAAGGTAAAAATGTAAAACACTGCGCTTTTGAAGTCTATTTTCAGTAAACAAAAGCTTCTCTGTTTCTGGAGGAAAAAATAAAGTAGAACACGTTATATCTTAGTACTGTAAAAGCTTATAAATGGGATTTGCTTAGGAATCCAAGGAAATCAGGCCCCTCCTCCTTTAAGCTCATTTGAAAATGCATTATCTTCAGAAGCGCTTACGCAGTAAGCTGGAGAGAGGCTGACTGAAAGGATCCCATCAGGATCCCACAACCCTGAGGTCATGTAAATCGTACCTCGCCAGAGCTTTGAAGTCATGTAGGCAATGTGTTTGCTGCAGAAACGCACGCACACCTCATTGTGCCTGAACGGCTGCACGTGCAGTCAGATGGGGCGTTCTCATTTCTGTCAAGCTGACAAGACTCACAATGGGGGTTTACCACGTACTTCTGTGACCAGAAGCCAAGAAGCCAGGTGCTGCCAACAGCAGACTTTCCTGTCTGTTCACCATGCCTGGGTGCTTACAGATCCTGAGGGAAATGTGAGCAGCAACTGCAGAAAGCCGATGGCACTGGGAGGAACTGCAGCAGGGCTGATGAAGCAGGAGATAAGAGAGTTTTAAATGCGTACCTTTCAGTGTTCCTGTTGATGGAAAGTAGAGCTGAGGCTGGCATTTCCCCAGTTTTTTACTGCTGGGAAAAGCTGTCCCAAGGACCAGCTGGTTCATATCCATTGAAAACTGGGGAAAAAAGTAAAAGAAAAAATAAATTAAAAAAAGAGGATATGAGCAAGATAAAAATCGTACACGGTGCTTTTTGAGAGATCCTTCTATCTAAACCTCATTTCTAGTGATACGGTTATTATAGATCTTTCCTGACAGCACTCCAGCGTTAGAATTTGAAAAAAGAAACACTGATTTCTTTCCTTGTAACCAAATATACTAAGCACACGTTCTTACTAAGGCACAGCATCATACAGACATAGAGTCGGGCTTTCAAAAGCTGTAGTTTGGAAGAGGCACAGTAGTTACAACTGATACAGTTCTGTTGAAAAAATAGAAGTGGGTGAAACCTCTGAGCAATTCAAATTGATTCTTGTGCTGATGATACCATAAGTAAAGGTTTATGAACATTGAATGAATTTTTTTTATACAGCTCCAAAGCTACCCACTGATGCTCTTAAAGTCTGAGTAGCTTTTTCTATATATGTGTGGATGAAGAGATGAATTTTTCAATGCACAATCTGCATTTTAGCATTAAAGAAAATAGCTAAAATGTGTATAATACAGTACAGGAACTACATATACTTTCAAAACTGCTGAATTTCATTGAGCATAGAAAGTAATTGCTCTTATATTAAAAGTTGAACTCTTCTGCAAAACACTTGATCCCTAATGAAACGAGTTCAATAGATACATCCCATGGCATGCATAAAACAGGGAAGTCAAGCACAAAGAGCCTTCTTTCATGCATCAGTTTTGATTGTCCTACTTTGCTGTGTCAGGAACTACAGCAAGAGCTCAAGTGTTGAAGCTTTTTGATACTATAATAAACCAAACAAAGCCCAGTTGCATATTTTAGGGTTTATTTTATGCCACATCTATACAATGAGCAAAACTGGGAGTTTTCAGTAACCACTGTGAACTGCTTCCAGAGATGATGTTTTCCTCATGGAAGGATTCTCACTAGTGTAGAAAAACCATATTTGATAGCCAGCAACCAGGCTGGCCAACAGAATTAGTGCACATTCTGTCAGCATATTTCCTCCCTCCAGCTTTACTTCTCCAATCTTTTTCAATATTGTCAAAATGAGCAATCATTTGTGATTCAGACTCCCAGAAAAGGCAGAAATCAACATACCCCAATGACGGATAAATTATTAATGCAATCCTGCCAATCACACAGAGCTCAGTGCTTTTAAAAATGGAATGAGATCATCTGCTCAGTTCTTTTAAATGAGATTCATCTCTTATTAGGGGGCATTATGTATATGCCTTGCTCTCAGAAAACCATTTTCTTCAAAAAAAGATTATTGCACTGTCTCTTCTTGTGAAATACCATGCAAGCTCTACACTTAGATACCAAATCAATTTTTTGTTTCAGGAAACAATTATATGGAATGGGTATTTTCTTTCGCAGATAGACTGATTCTGTTGAATATGAAAGCTTCTACTGCTTTCTGTTATTCGTATTCAGAACATCTCTGCTTTGAGTTGGCCCTGACTTGTACCACTCTATAAATATACAGTCAGACCCGGTGTCTGTGGCATATCACTTGTTTTGCTGCAGTAACTTCAGCAGTCTGTAATAGAAAAATTTGCAAGAGTAACTGTGCAATGCAAAACTACATACAAAAATACTGTATGATGTTCAAGTATAGCTGGGCCATGTAGCTGTCTTCTAAAACTTCAAGGCAGCAAATTTTTCTAGTATACAAAAATAATACAATGATAATAGTAATAATAATAACAACAATACAGTTGAAGACAGAAGATATTCGAAGGATTTAAGTATAAAGGAGAATTCTGAGGAATCCAGAAGCTGCTCAAGGTTGAGATTTTTGTTGAAGGTTCTCTCTGACAAATGCAGTTCATGTTAGATTTCGGGCTCTGTCCTGCCATGGCCTGGACTGGAGGCGGTGCAGAGTGGCAGACAGGAGACAACTTTATTGTCACATCTCGTGAGAGGGCTGTGAAATTGTCTCTGTACCCCCTCACTCCATAGGACATATTCAGATTATTCAGGCATCATAATGCAGTGTCTAGGTGCCATTAAGACAGTGAACACAAAGAACCTGCAACCAAACTCAAGTTGCAAAAGTAGAAAAATGTCGTATTATCCCTATTCCCTTGAGTATGCTGGACTAGCAAGGTGGAATCTGATTTACATTATATTTAGATAGTTTGAGAGATGAAATATTGACATCACAAGGACAAAACACTGATTCAGAGTACACAAGTGTTTTCTATGTAATGAAACTTAAATATTTTCTTAGCAAAAACATCAGTAGAAAACTCTAGCACAAGCTTAACTGCCTTATTTTACCTAGGCCAAAAAGGGGCACTCTTTCCAAGGCTCTTGCTCGCCTTCATTAAGCAGCAGATATTTTTATCTGTTGTGTTGATAGAAACAGTGGTCTTCAAAGCTCTTTAAACTGAGCTGCCAAAATACAGCATTGGGATTTTGCTGTTTTATTTTATATATTTCAGCTCTGTATTACAAGTACTGACAATCATCGTATTGAACACATCTTCTATGATATGGAAAGCTGTCTGATTCTTGTGGTCGTATGCCATGGTGTCATTTAACAACATGTATTCCCATCTGTGAATTCTCTTTCTCGCATTTGGCTTGCACTTTATTTCTCTCATCTAGAAGTCTGGCAATAGTTTCTCACTGTTGTTCTGATAGCAGTATGGGTCAAACTCATTCCACTGTGAACGTGCATTTATGCATTTGTACTTGGAGAGAGTGATTGATTGGTATCAGGCAGAAGTGACTTCTGTTAGATTTCCAGCACATTATTCTGTGGCTAATCAGCTCTACTGAAGGTCACTTAAACCTAGCAGACATGACTCTAATGCATAGAGTTACTTATCTGATGTCTGTTTTGTCACTGATGTGGCTAGAGTGCTCCCAGAAGTTACTAAGAAAAAAAAAGAAAATAAAAGTGGACTATGTATCTGAGCAAGTAATAGGAAGCCAAAAAAGTAGCTGTGCTTATATATCTGTGTGGTCTCTTTTTAAATATAAAGTTGGTGGATTTGTTCAGTATGAACTAATGACAGGACCGTCTGCCCTTGTCTAATCAGGAAAGATTAATGCGAAATAGTCCTTGGGATTTTTTATATATCCCAGGGGAGGTAAAAGACCATTAATAATCATTTAGATGTTTAAACGCTTAACAGTTCTGGAAGACATGCACCATAACCAATCTTCACCAAAAACATCACAGAGATTTGCATCACGACTTTGCCTTTCAGTCTGAATCAGAACAGTGCTCAAGTGAACACTGTCATGAAGAGCAGACGGAAGATCACTCTCTCCCAAAAGGAGCTTAAAATTCAGTCATATTGATTTCAAAGATTGGAATTCTTCTTGTATAATTAAAAACCATAAATCCATTCAGTTTTAGATCCAGTATCAAAGACTGCAGCTTGAAATATCCCAAGATTACTTTTCCACTCTGGCTTGTATCCAAGATTGGCCCTAGAATTACTAGATATTTGACAACTAGCAGACTGAAACTTCCAACTCATAGAAATTAAATACATGGTTGGATTCATCAGGTTGTAGACATCTAAGTATAAGGATATTTATTCAACTATAATTTTTGGCAATTTTGCATCCAGTTGCACTGGAACATAACTTTATTTTACAAACAGTCCAAACAGTCCAGACACAGATTTCTTTAACAAAAGGTCAGTTACTTTGTTGTTGTTTGCGATTGCATTACTCTCATGTTTTAATTACCATGCAAACAAATTTATATTGCGTATTTCCCAGTAGCAGGTAAAACTGTGCTGCCTGCACAGTTCCTCATTCTCCTCATTCATTGGCTTCAGTGATGCTATTTGTTTCAGCAGGATTTGGTTTCAGAAAGCTTGCCTGTCATTTGACAATAAAGCGAAGCGTGTAACATTCGGCCAAATTCTGTTCATCACATTGAGTTTTACTAGGATCAACAAGACTGTCTAAATTAGTTCAGCGTTACTTCTGGCTGTTATAGAGCTTCTAAAAAAGCAGCCTTCAAAACTACCTCCACAATTTCCCTGATCTTCCTTTCGCTAATGAAATAACAATGTGTTTGCAATAAATATATCACAAAGTTCCAGAGAATCTTGGCAGGTGAGCCAGTTTCAGGAACTGCAGTACATATTCTTGTTTTCTCAGTTTTTTTCCCAATCAGCCTGATTGTTAAAGAGGTGAAATGGATTAATGCTAGTTTCTAGACAGAGAAATAGAATCAAAAATTGAACTTAGACTGCAAAATTCCAGAGCATGTCTCTGACCTAACATCAGCTAACTATCTTTTGTCAACACTACCTTCAAGTCTACTCCCAGCTTGGAGGGTTTTTTGGGAGTCATCAAATCTTTGTTCCACTGAATTCATGATATGGAGAATTGTACAGAAATTATTATCCATTATTCTGTGGACTCATAATTCAGCAGGTGGCGTTTTTACAGCCTCACACATTTAATATCTGCACACGTATGCATTCATGCATGTACATGCACAGAATACCCTCCACAGTTTTATATGGAACTTTCTTGTAATGTGAACAGAGAAGCCATGACGAGCTGCAGCTTTAAGTATTCCTTCTAAGCAAACATAGCACAGAAATTTGGTGAGGAAGATATGGGATTTCAGTAGAGTTGAGAATTCTAAGATCAAGAATCTAGATGTGGTATTAAAAAACACAGCAGTACATCAGTAGAGATATTTTATGGCACTAGAAGCATAGGAGAAATACGAAGCTAAACTTAGGAAGTCAAAGGGACCCATAAAGGAGAAGAAAGGAAAATACCATGGTTATTACTAAGTGTCTCACAAAGGCAATGATCACCTTTGGAATGTGCATAGCCATGCTATCTTATACAAGTTAGAAAAATGGAGCACTGAACAGGAGAATGTTACATTGCATAAAGCTCTATAAAGGGGCTAAGCAAAACATCACAGTGCTGACTTCATCCCATTAGGAATGTAGGGAAATCATGC